GAGGAGGAGGGGGGTGGGGGGGGGGGAGAAGGACGAGGACGTGGGGGACGCTGGGGCCGCGGATCTGCATGCGGAGCAGCAGGCGATACTCGATTCCCTCCGATCAGAATCGGCGTCGGAGGCCAAACACTGTCATTTGCAGGAGGTGGAGGTGGAGAACGCCGTAGGCATCGACGAGACGCTTGCGTATATGGATGAGGAGGAGGAGCCGAAGCCCTGCGACGCGTCCAACTACCCAGCACCCGGCACGGATGTAGTGCACATCTCCGACCACGAAGTTTAGTTTAGGCTAGCTTGATGTATGTAGTACATAGGAACTTCCTTTATGATTCGTATGGATCTAAAGGATGAAATATTAGGTATTCGGATGCATAGCATCAAGCATGAGGTGTGATCGGTCAGTGCCAGCGGACGTGTCTGGTCGCGCGTCTGCGGCGTCTGCGCGCGTTTGAGGGGCCGGATTTACTAAGTCCGATTGTAGATGCTCTTATAAACATATTTCACAGATACAAAGACAACGTATGTGTCCACTCCAAGAAAAATTAACCATGTACATCAACGTCAGTGCACCAAAGAACGAAAACTACCATGTTTCCCCTGATGAGGATCATTTAATTTTCTGACGCGGACTAATCTTTCTGAATCAGCTAACGACCAAAATGTACAAGGTTCTCTATAGGAGGCAGCACACCGGCGGCTCTAGGCATTCTGCACCGTCATGATGGCGAGGGCCTCTCTCGCCTGCCCCAGGATGTTGAACACCGTCGCGGCGATGTGCGACGGCGTCAGCCCGGCCTCCACCAGCTGATCGGCCGGCGATCCATGGTCGATGTACTTGTCGGGGAGTACCATCGGCCGCCACTGCACAACCCAAAGAAAAATTCATCATCAGTCACTCACGCCGTCAGTGTTGGTCTCTGACTCTCTGAGTCTCTGTCCGTCAGTCTGTCTGAAAAATTGACAATGTTGCTTCGATCAATCGATTACCTTAAGTTTGCCGTCGAGAAGGCCATCCAGGGCCATGAACTGAGCCACGTGTGAGCCGAAGCCGCCGATGGAGCCTTCCTCGACGGTGATGATCACCTCGTGGGACTTGGCGAGGCTCCTGATGAGGGCGTGGTCCAACGGCTTGCAGAACCTGGCGTCGGCGACGGTGACCCTGAGGCCGTGCCGCGCCACGATGGACGAGGCGGCCATGCAGTACTGCACCGCCGACCCGTACCCCAGCAGCGCCACCCTCTCGCCCTCGATCATGATCCTGCCTTTGCCGACCTGCCGAACATGCGTAGATCAGTCGTCAGTCGCGTACACAGTCTCTAATCTGCTCTCGGAGTTATGAGCTCGAGATCGAAACGCACCTCGATGGCGGTGCCTTTGTAGTTCTCCGGCAACGGGACGCCGATGCCGTTGCCCCTCGGATAGCGGAAGCAGGAGGGGCGGTCGTCGATGGCCGCGGCGGTGGCCACCATGTTCAGCAGCTCGGCCTCGTCGGACGGGGCCATGACGACCATGTTGGGCAGGCACGCCATGAAGGCCACGTCGAAGGCCCCGCAGTGGGTGGGCCCGTCGGCGCCGACCAGCCCCGCCCTGTCCATGGCAAACCTCACCGGGAGCTTCTGGAGGTCCACGTCGTGCACCACCTGGTCGTAGCCTCTCTGCAGGAACGAGGAGTAGATGGCGCAAAAGGGCTTGAGCCCCTCGCAGGCCAGGCCGGCCGCGAAGGTCACGGCGTGCTGCTCCGCGATCCCGACGTCGAAGCACCGGTTGGGGAAGCGGCGGAGGAAGTAGTTGAGCCCCGTGCCGCCCCCCATGGCCGCGTGGATGGCCACGATCTTGCTGTCCTGCTCCGCCTCGGCTATCAGCGCCTCCGCGAAGTAGTTGGTGTAGGACAGCGTCTTCGCCGGGACCTTGAACTGCTTCCCCGTCGCCGGATCGAACTTGGCCACGCCTGCGCCATGGATCGATCACACACAACAATTAACAGCTAATTACACTCCCCTATGTATGATAGTGCATATGAACGATTCATCCATGAAATGCAAGAAAGACGCGGTGGTGCTTGATGATTCATGTATGTTATCTACCGTGGTACTTGTCGGAGGCTCGCTCGGCGTAGGGGTAGCCGCGGCCTTTCTCGGTGATGACGTGGATGAGCACGGGGCCGGTGGTCTTGGTGCCCTTGACCTCCCGGAGGATGGTGATGAGGTCGTCGATGTTGTGGCCGTCGACGGGGCCGATGTAGTAGAGCCCGAGCTCCTCGAAGAGCGACGACCCGGAGCCGCTGATCATGCCGCGGGCGTACTCGTCCACCTTGGCCGCGATCTCGTGCACCGACCCGCCGATCTGCTTCGTCACTCCCTGATGAGCATACAAAACACGCGCGAAAATCAGTCGAATATCTGGGCCCTTTTCCTTCCGCCCGGCCCAGCAATGTAATGCCGGTTAGTTAGGGCCGCCTAGTTTATTTACAAAAGGAATATGACCAGCCCAGACAGCCCAGCAACATTATCAATTTGAGCTGTCAAGTGATCAGATTTGAAGTGAAGATAAACTACTCATTCGACTCAAATCCAGGAGGATTAGAAAAGAAATACACCTATGTCCTTCCTGTCAGATTGTGCTTGCGCCACGTCACTTGTTTTTAAAATTATAAGCCACATCGCTTGTTATGATACTCCCTTCCCTTAAGTGAGCTCTTTTGTTGAAGACAAAAACGCTAGTGGGCAGCACTAGATATGCTACTCTAGGTTACATCGCCATTTCTGGTGGATGCATAGCTAGAGCCATGCACTACACCTGGCACTGATAGAGTATGCGTGCGTTGCATCTGGAAGAAAACAGCTACGATTTTGGCATGTACCATACAAAAATTTAAGATTTAAAACTCGGAGGCGTGCTCCCACGGCGACACTGACACGTTTGGTTCGATTTTAAAAAAACTGTTGCTGTGATGCTGATTTGCTGTCATTTCATCCACTGTTTCAAATTTGTTTGTAGTTTTTAGTTGAAACATGCGCACACGACTTGCTATTTTTCCTTTTTTTACAAACCTATCATGCAGCAAGTTGGAATTTGATTCACGCCACTGCTTTCAAGTCAACGTGGCTTTTGCCGTACTATCTATGGAGTGTGGGAGTGTAGGAGGTGCATTTTGTGAGGCTGTACCTTGGCCACCTCCCTCAGCTCCCTGAGCGGCCGGCTGGACTGCAGCTTGCTGAGGGCGCCGCTGAGCGCGCCCACGGGCGGCGCCGGCCCGTCCAGCGTCGCCGTCGGCAGCGACACCTGCTTGTTGTCGTTGAGGATGACGATCATGTCCGAGTCGAGGTACCCGGCGTTGTTCATCGCCTCGTACGCCTGCCCGGCCGTCATGGCCCCGTCCCCGATCACCGCCACCACGTTGTTCTTGGCGCCCTTGAGGTCCCTCCCGACGGCCATCCCTGAGAACCACGCGCACACGCTCGATTACCACGTCCGTTCACCGCAGATTTTTCACGAGAAGATTAAGTGCTTCATAATCAGATGCAGAGGTGGTTAGTTACCGAGGGCGGCGGAGATGGTGGTGGAGCTGTGGCCAGTGCCGAAGCTGTCGTACTCGCTCTCGGAGCGCTTGACGAAGCCGGACAGCCCGTTGGTCTGCCGCATCGTCGGCATCTTATCGCGCCGCCCCGTCAGAATCTTGTGCGGGTACGACTGCATCGAATAAACAAAAACGGCACGGTCCATCAGTCGGGCCGGTCTCCGAGCTGCGCAGCACCTCACATGGCGCGGGCACGTTACCCCAATCCGGGGCCACGCCGGCGGATCGCCGGGCGGGCCAGGTGTGCATTGTTAATTTGTCGAGCTTTGCTTAATTACCTGGTGGCCGACGTCCCAGAGGAGCTTGTCCTGCGGGGTGTTGAAGACGTAGTGCAGCGCGACGGTGAGCTCGACGACGCCCAGGCTGGACCCGAGGTGGCCGCCGGTCTTGGAGACGTGGAAGATGACGTCGGAGCGCAGCTCGTCGGAGAGCTGCTGCAGCTCCTTGAGGGACAGGTTCTTCATGTGGATGGGGTAGTTGACGGTGTCCAGTAGCGGCGTCGGCGGCCGCTGCGAGTGGTACTCTGCTTCCCTCTCCGACAGCGACGCAGAAATGCCGGATGTCCTCCTCCTCGGCGCCTGCTCGCCAAATCGATACAGCATTGGCCATGGCGACAGCAGCAACGGTTACGGTTTGCAAAGAAGACGAGCAGGAACAGAGCACTAGCTACCTAGCGGCCATCGAATTACTCGAACCGACAAGAACAAGAACAGAGAAGAATCGGCCATGGCGAGAGAAGAGCAGAGGAGGCGTATGCTGGCTACTAACCTTGAGCGGCCTGGCCTGGAGCTCGACGGCGGGAGCGAAATGGTGCTCCTGAGGCAGCACGCCGAGGAAGCCCCGCGGGAGGGAGAAGGTCGACGAGAGCGCCATTGTTCCTCCTTCTCAAGACTGCAACGGCTCAACTCCCCCCTATCCTCTGCTTGGGAGGAAGCGGGTGAATCCAAAAATGAGCGTCCCAAGCGCGTCCAAGAGCCGCGAGCAAGTGGCGGGCTGACACACTATGCGGAATATGGGTGGGGATCCGGGAGGGGAAGTGGAGCGGAGAGTGACGAGGTGAGGTGCTCCGTGCCCGGGACTGGGGGTGTGCCCCGGCGCGTTCTATAGTGGTGGCGAGGGGCGATGGATGGGGGTGAGGTGAGGTCGGATGGCGATAGGCTGTAAGGATGACCACCGAGGCCATTGCCCGGCGCATCGGCGTGTGGCTGGTATTCGTTCGGCCGTGCGCGCCTGAGCCTCTGGGTCTGGGTGCTCGCTTTTTCGTCCGTCGCTGGCTGCACGGGAGAGAGAGAGAGAGAGAGAGGGAGGGGCCGGGCAGCGGAATGGGTGCCTACCTATCCGGAATCCCATTGGACCAGCTCGGCGTAGTATCACGAGAAGATAATGGGATAGGAGCTAACGCTGGGAACATCTCAATTACGGAGAAGAAAATAGAGAAGAAGGGGCGCAGGAAATGATGGGCTTTTCACAACTTTTGGTGCTTCACCTCCATTTGTAGTGTTTCCCACATTATGAGAGAGTGTGCCACTGGCAAATTCATGGCCGCCCTACAGTTGTGAAAGCCCACTAATGATGAGCCTTGGTTGCTCGTGGCCGCCCCTTGTTTAGAGAGTGTCACTGGCAAAATTCAGCTCGCCCTACTGGAATGATACTGCTAGTTTTGTTGTGTCGTTGTGAGCCTTGCCGGTAGCGCTAGCCTAGTTTCTTTGGCTTTCAGGGCCGCTTTGATTCAAAGGATTTTCATAAAGAAATTGGAGGATGGGAATACTTAGAATTTTTTTCTACGCTGATTGTTTAATTCATAGTATTGAATCACATCGGAAGACTTTTTCTAGGGATTCCTTTGTACTGAATTCTATGGGAATGTTAGGGCTTCTTTTAATTGAAGAAAATTCAGAATGTAGGAACAAAAGACACAAAATTGCGGCAATGCTACACATACGGTAACTTACAGGGTTTTATAAGGAGGGATTAACTTGTGTGTTTGTGATTGGTCAATAGTTGATGGAGCCGGCCCACCCCCTAAAAATTAGAAAGGGGAGGGGGAGAGGCAAGTTTATGATTGCTCAGTAGATGAAAACAATCTGTAAAACCCCGTATTTGTTTGTAAGTCTAGTATTTTTGCACAAAATTGAGATGCCATGTGGTGTGAATTCCAATAGGATTTCAAAACACTGAGAATTTTGTAAGAGATATCTTTGGATGATGCACAGGAAAAACAGACAAGAAAAATTAGAGGATTCATAAGAGAGAGTCGAGAGAGATAAAGTGGAAACGCATTGGACTTCTCAAAGGAAAAAACAAAATGAGGTTTGAGCTCATGTTGAGATTCCTATGGAATGGAGGGCATAGGAATTGATGTGAGCCCAATCCCACAATCCAAAGTACTTCCTTAGAAAATAATCCTATAGACTGGAATCCTAAAAAATTCCTGTGAATGTCCAGTGGGCACTAAATTAATAGGTTAGTCTGAAAAATAATATGAATTGATACAAAAAGTACATAAAATGATAATGTAATAACATGAAACAATAAAAAATTATAGATACATTTGAGACGTATCAAATGCCATGTGGCCAGGCCGTGGATAATACCGATCTAGGTTGTTAGAACAAAGCCGGATAAGCATCATGATGGTGCACGAGAATACTTCGCGCTAGCAGGCTAGCTGTGCGGGAAATCTTTTCCAGTGTATAGCTCGACCAAGTTCTTTTGACACTTGTAAGAAGCCGAGGTGGTATTGGTCACCTCGGATGTAGTCCAGCGTTAAAGCTTGACTGCAAGGGGATGCTTTCGTTGAACCAGTTTCAAGACTGGGGACCGAAGTAGATCAACTATTCAGGCAAGCCGAGGTGCTTCCAGCTTGAAGAACAGTTGAAGGGCTACTAATGGGGTTCAGCTAAGGGGCCTCTCACCACGTTGACTCCCAGCCTGGTGGGTCGGGTTAAGAACCCCTTGTCGGTTCCATCCTAGGCCGCATCATAACAACTAGAAAAAGCTACCGAAACTTGTTGTCGTGGCAGCAGAAATCACTATCGTGGCAAACTATTTTTGCTAATGTGGAGGAACTTTTCTGTCTTAGCCCGTTTCTTGAAATTTTCTTCACTAGAGAACTCCTTTGCGTATGGCTTTTGCGTCGGGGTCCACCACCCCAAAATTTGTCACCACCATGTATTTGCAACGAACAATATCACTATCTCTATAGGCAATAAATAAAATGCATTACATGTAATTTGACACACGGGCCATAAAAGTAACAATCATATGGCTCCGGCCATCATGCTCTACCATGATATGCAGGCCATGCAAATTAATTATAACATACATCATCTGAAAGTGTAACTAATCCCCGGGTGATTTGGCTAATTCATAATAGCATATACATCATTGAACTAATGCCTACTCAAAGAATATTTCAGGAAAGTTCAATATAAGTATGGTAATGGGATGTGAATGTGGACCCCTCAAAATGCAAAGGACATGTGTTAGCAAAGATTCAAGACTCTACATTTTCTGGTTAAGTGATCCAAGATCACATCGAGTACATAGGAAAGCCAATACTATTAAAAGGGGATCACGTTCTGATGATGGTCTAACTGCTCAAGTGCTTAGAGATATTGCTCCAACGAAAAAAACCTAAAGTCCATATCGGTCCCACCGTAACACATCCATCCGGACTCATCAAGATACACTTGACATAGCCATGGCCTAAACCCTAGCTTTTTAGTTCCATCGAGTTGGCCCTTTAGTCCCACCGAAGAGAACTTGCCAACCTTATGTCGTAAACTGAAATTCGATCGAACTCTTTGAATGGTTTCAGGCGGTGATACCAAAGTATGGAAAGTGCTTAGATCAGCTTGACTCAGTCCCAGTGAGAGTTTTCATCCTGTGACGCCCCCGATTCAATCGTACACTAATCATGCACGCAAATGTGTACGATCAAGATCAGGGACTCACGGGAAGATAACACAACACAACTCTACAAATAAAATAAGTCATACAAGCATCATAATACAAGCCAGGGGCCTCGAGGGCTCGAATACAAGTGCTCGATCATAGACGAGTCAGCGGAAGCAACAATATCTGAGTACAGACATAAGTTAAACAAGTTGCCATAAGATGGCTAGCACAAACTGGGATACAGATCGAAAGAGGCGCAGGCCTCCTGCCAGGGATCCTCCTAAACTACTCCAGGTCGTCGTCAGCGGGCTGCACGTAGTAGTAGGCACCTCCGGTGTAGTAGGGGTCGTCGTCGACGGTGGCGTCTGGCTCCAGGGCTCCAGCATCTGGTTGCGACAACCAGAAAGAAAGGAAAAGGGGAAAAAGGGGGGGAGAAAGCAACCGTGAGTACTCATCCAAAGTACTCGCAAGCAAGGAACTACACAACATATGCATGGGTATATGTGTAGGGAGGCCATATCAGTGGACTGAACTGCAGAATGCCAGAATAAGAGGGGGATAGCTAGTCCTATCGAAGACTACGCTTCTGGCAGCCTCCGTCTTGCAGCATGTAGAAGAGAGTAGATTGAAGTCCTCCAAGTAGCATCTCCAAGTAGAATCTCCAAATAGCAACTCCAAGTAGCACCTCCAGTAGCATCGCATAGCATAATCCTACCCGGCAATCCTCTCCTCGTCGCCCTGCGGAAAAGCGATCACCGGGTTGTCTGTGGAACTTGGAAGGGTGTGTTTTATTAAGTATCCGGTTCTAGTTGTCATAAGGTCAAGGTACAACTCCAAGTCGTCCTGTTACCGAAGATCACGGCTATTCGAATAGATTAACTTCCCTGCAGGGGTGCACCACATAACCCAACACGCTTGATCCCATTTGGCCGGACACACTTTCCTGGGTCATGCCCGGCCGCGAAAGATCAACACGTCGCAGCCCCACCTAGGCACAACAGAGAGGCCAGCACGCCGGTCTAAACCTAAGCGCGCAGGGGTCTGGGCCCATCGCCCTGAGCACACCTGCACGTTGCGTGGGCGGCCGAAAGCAGACCTAGCCTAGTGGCGTTCCAGTCCAATTCGGCGCGCGCCGCTCCGTCGCTGACGTCTGAAGTGCTTCGGCTGATACCACGACGTCGGGATACCCATAACTACTCCCACGTAGATGGTTAGTGCGTATAGGCTCGTAGCCGACTCAGATCAAATACCAAGATCTCGTTAAGCGTGTTAAGTATCCGCGAACGCCGAACAGGGCCAGGCCCACCTGTCTCCTAGGTGGTCTCAACCTGCCCTGTCGCTCCGCCACAAAGTAACAGTCGGGGGCCGTCGGGAACTCAGGCCCACCACTACCTGGATGGAGCCACCTGTCCTTTCAGCCCCCTCGTCAGAATCGCTTGCGGGTACTCAATGAGCTGACCCGTCTTTAGTCACCATCTGTATAGTATGTATGTATGTATAGTATATACCCGTGATCACCTCCCAAGTGATCACGGCCCAATAGTATAGCAAGGCAGACTGACAAGAATGTAGGGCCAATGATGATAAACTAGCATCCTATACTAAGCATTTAGGATTGCAGGTAAGGTATCAACAGATGTAGCGACAATGTCAGGCTATGCATCAGAATAGGATTAACGAAAGCAGTAACATGCTACACTACTCTAATGCAAGCAGTATAGAGGAGAATAGGCGATATCTGGTGATCAAAGGGGGGGCTTGCCTGGTTGCTCAGACAAGGAGGGGTCGTCGGTGACGTAGTCGTACTCGGTGGCATCAGCGTCGGTCTCGTAGTCTACCGGAGAGAAGAGGGGGAAGAAATAATGAATACAGAGCAAACAAAGCATCACAAAATATAACAAGGCAATACGCGGTGTTCGGTGTGCCCTAACGCGGTAGTAGGTGATACCGGTGAAGGGGGGAAAACATCCGGG